TTGATGGTTTTATGCATAGTCTGTTATCATGACCAATGTTCGGAAATAAATCAGCGTGAAACAAGCTCAAGCAGAGCATTCCTATCTCTTTCAAAGCTATTGAAGTTCCAAAAAAAAATCAAGAAATCTCCGACTAAGGGAGCAAAGTGCTATGAAAAAGGCAGTTCTTGTATACGGCTACGAGACTTCGACATTACTCAGTAGATTAGAAAAAAGTATTCAAAGATTTGAGAGAAAAATCCTCTGCATGATAACCTGAGCAATCTGCGATTGGTGTTGCCCAAAATCGATCTTGGTCTTGCACTTGCCACCAAGGCCGCCTGCATGTTGCAAGACCAAAACCAAGACTGGTAAAAGAAATAGATTTTTTGAATAAAAATTAAGGGAAAATAGTTACTTGACAATTTGAGTTACAATAATCAAAGAATTGATATAACCTACATACTTCTGCATTACAATCTTCTAATTTTTTAATCGGGCTTAGTTTGGTGTCTCCTATCCGAAAATTCAGAGTAATATCTCTATTATAATAAGCTACAGGTTTAAAAAAGGTGACAGGTTTAAAAAATACAGCGAAATAGTCTAAAATCACCTTTGTTGTATTATATAACAAAGTAAATATGACTGATAAGGCATACAATTTTGTGAAAGAATCAACTTTCGAACTTCCTCGAGCGTTTTCCCGTTATCTAAAAGAAAACATTTACTTACGTTATAAACTTACCCTGAACATAAGCCAACCGTATCCAACACATTCCTTCGCAAAATAACAGTAATCTCAACAGTATTACCGGCTAATTTACGACTAATGTTTATAATGAGGAATACTCTATATGTCCATATATAAGAACAATTATTCAAAGAAATAGAATAAACATAGTTATTTTTACCTGTTAAAAAGTAATGAAGGCCTCTAGAGGTCTTAATGTCGCGCAATGCTTTAACGATACTGTCAAATACGTTCAGACAGTTACAACAACCCTTCCACCCCTATAAACCTATCGGAAATTACTTATAGTTTCGATGATGTGAAGAATACTACAAGCGTACCGTAACATACCCGACCAGTCTCCCCTACTAACACACGCAGGAGTAAGACCAATAAAGTATTGCTTACAGAAACTGGTCAATCATTATCTATGAAAGCATGGATTTTATGATCGGCGGGATATGTAGACCGGAGGAATCCATTTGGATGCCTCCACGCAACAATGAATGGCTCAATAGCAGTCAAAAGAACGCATGAAAGGCCAAAAGCTAGATGGATAGATCGAACTATGATGCAATAGAGTTGCATGCAGATACTACGAAAATTCTTTATTGAGATATATTACAATTACTGTTGCCCAAAATCCGTCTTGATCTTACATTTTGCAAGACCAAGACCTAGGCCAACTAAAGACCTAAACAAGACCATAACCAGGGCTGGGAAAAAATAATCGATTTTTAAATACAAATTAAGGCAAAATAGATACTAATACTTGACAATCTTAGTACTGTATGTTAAGTATTTGTAAACATTATACTTTTGCATTTAACACCTTTAATTTTTCATTCCGGCTTAGTTAGGTTTTTCCTATCTAAAAAATTACAGTAATATCTCTATATTAATAAGCTTATAAGTGACTGCAAGACTGTTGCGAGAGTCTTGTGCAAGACCAAGACCAAGACTGAGTTTGCAAGACCAATAGTCGTCTCGGTCTCGCATTTGGGCAACACTAATTACAATCTGTTACATGTAAGTACAATAGTAATATTGATAAAATAGTAGCTCATTCACACAATGTTCAATAAATGAAAACAAATAAAGAGGAAAATAATAATGATAAAAGTGAATATATATAAACTAAAAGAAACTAAACTAATCAAAATAACTACCCGGATACACACATGCTTCAATAAGATGTATAAAAAAATCATTCAGCCAAGATCTCCAAGCCAAGCCTTTCCTCTAACTCGAGGGAAAGAAAGACAAGAACCTAGGAGATTCCAGCGCACTGAGCCGCATTACTGGTATTAAGGACCAGTGCATGCAGATAACTGAAAAAAAATATTTTAAGGTAGGCAGAGATGGAGATGGCTGATTAAGGTGGCAAAAGATATAAAGATTACAAGGTATGTAATGTCACAGAATAAATAAAAATAAAAATTCTATTATCATCACATAAAACTGAGTTTCTTATCCATCGAAGTAGATCCATATTTTATCTATACTTACATAATAGAATAGGGAATGGTCAAGTGGGAAGAACTTGAGGGACTTGTGATATGTGAGTCTCCGTCTTTCCAGATGAATAAAAATCCTTTCCTGTAAAAATAGATTTATTTTTTAAATAACTGTACCTATCTACATATTAAGTAATGTTCCGAGCAATTCATCCAACGCTTTTGAATCTTTTGTTTTTTACACCTAACTTTTGTCTTGTTATCCTTTCATTATTGACAGTTATGAGTTATAAACTTATACCTCATTAATGGCTTATTTATCTAGCTTGAATAAATATTGCTTAAGAAAAAAAATCTGCTAATCCATAAAGAAGTTTTATCACTGTATTCATGAATTTTTATGAACTTTGAATTAGATCTTTGATACTATTGCATGAAATGATTAATGGAAATATACATTTATATCCCAGTCAATTCAAAAAAAGCAACTTAGTCGGTTTTTCTGCCGTTTTATTGCATATAAAATTGTGATTTGAAGTTCACAAATTAAATTTCCTAAAGATTCAGCATTATTTAAAAAAAAAAATTAAACTTTTTTCAGTTTTTTTGCAGGCAAATCCAAAACTACTTTTTTTACCAAATCCACTTTTACCAAATCCAAACTTTATCGAAATGTGCAGTCTTCAAAAATCAAAATTTCCTCTCAGTTTCATCGGCATTATTTCGAATTTATAAATAAAGAGTGAGTAACAAGCTAAACATACTTCTTAAAAATATAAAAAAAAGTTTTCTAGTCACATCCTTCAGGTTTGGGGCCATTTTCTCATAATTTTTCATATATCTATTTTTGGCCAAAGGTCACGAAATATACACAGTTTTTTTATCTCCTGTATACTTTATTCAACGTTTCGGCTTCAGGAGCCATTTTCAAGATCCATGCACCGCGTCATAAAATTTTTAAAAATCTACCATTGCGATATGATTCGTCCTTAATTCATTCTTTTATTTCAAAGAATGTCGTTTTCCATTTCTCTATTTGCAGACGGTATCAAGAAATTGTTATTCCTCACTAGGGCATTCATACAGGACTCTCATACAGATCTATAAGATTTAAAAAAATTTATGGCGCGGTGCATGGATCTTGAAAATGGCTCCTGAAGCCGAAACGTTGAATAAAGCATACAAGAGAGAAAAAACTATGTATATTTGGTGACCTTTGGCCTAAAATAGATATATGGAAAATTATAAAAAAGGTTCTTCGTCGGATTTTTTTGGTAACTCATAATAAAAGCATTTTTGAAAGAAATATTAAACAAAAATTGATAGAACATAAATTAGAGTTTATAAAGTACCATTAGTACCATTTTATAACTGTAAAAAGTGTGGCTGGATTTCCAAAAAAAATGATGTACAGATTAACTAAATCAAAAAATAATAATTAACGACTCAAAAATAAATAATTCAAAAATGAATTAAGAATTATTTAAGACTTCCGTATTCATTATCACTAAAAAAAGATGAAAGGTTTCTTACATGCCCAACAAGAAATCCAGTTTTGTCTTCCAAACACAAGGAATAGAGATCATCATAAAACTTCTCTCTCTAAAACAGAATAAGATTATTGTCAAAGTTTTAATTTCTTAAATATTTTGATCAACATTTTCGTCGTTTACCTAAAATAAACTAAAACAAAAAAAACTTTTATAACATCAAAGAAAAAAAAATGGCACAAATGCCAGCCTGAGATTTTTAATATTTGAACAGAAAAATATTAGAAAGAATCCAATAATTTGCCAATATAGTATGAATCGATTGACTTAATGATTTTATTCATTTGTTGTAAATGTAGAGTCTTGTAATATTACGCAATAAAAAGTCAGTTCTTCGTGCTATGGGCATACAGTGTCAGAATGTTTTTTGTTTTTTAAAGGTTTTTGTAAAAGAAAGCACTTTATTTTATATTCCTATCTTCAATATGCGGATTTTTTCTTACGAAACTTCGAGTTCTAAGTATCTTCTCTGGACTGACCTATGACATTAGTGGACAAACCGCATTAAATTATAACCTGCAAAGGACGAATTTAGAAAATTCGGATACTTGCCAATTCGAACAATTTTCGGATACTAAGTATGTTAAAACATGAACCACAAATTCCTGTTTGTGTTTTATTATTATTCCTGAAAGTAATAAATTTGGTTCTTATGTTCATATCTATGTAAAAATTATTGTTGTCACAACTTCATATCTGTCAAAGCAGTGGAAGTTGGAATGACAAATTACATGTGTGAAAACAGCCTTTAGCAAATGAGAACATTTGCCTCTATCGTGCTTTTAGATCTTGCTACTTGTTAATATTTAGGAAAGGGGTGAGGAATGGATGGCCGAGCACGTTGTAGGGTGGGTCTCAGAGTACTCGGTTTTAAACGTTGTGGGTTTGATTCCCATAGTCAGTTAATTTTCATCTCCTTCTCTCCCCCTTCTCTCTCAGAAAATGAATATTGACATACCAGCTATGGTAAGTACGTGGTGGCATCCTCAAGGTAGCCGTCTAGGATTGGCAAAACGGACCATTTCGTCCACCAGTAAGGAGTGGATGGAGTGGGTAAGAATAAAACTAGATATTCATGAAAATAAAATTGAATGATAAGAAAAAAACACATACTCTGTTACATTAACCGTGGATCAGAAGATACCATCACGGTTAATGTAACAGACCCATCCTCTGAATAATGTTTAAACACTCAACTAAGGGAATATTGTGCGTTTGTGGATAAACATATTTAGCGGTTTAATTGTTATGATTTTGTTTGTTCTTATTAATTTTAAGCTGTTATTATACAAGATCAGAGTAATCCTGTGCTACCTGGTTATTAGCGTTAGCTGTTGAATGTGCCACACACCAGATCTTGTAAAATGATTCAACAGTTAAAGCGAAGTGAGTGAAGGCCACATATGTTCTTAAATTGTCGCTGATGAACGAAGTTTCAGGAATAAAGTCCAGAAGGATCCCGGCAAAAAGGTAAAGACCGATAGCGGCTCTGCAGAGGCTGCTCATCACAATCAGTGCCAGGTGGAAGAAGTAAGTTTCCACCAGCCGTACCTGTATCCGATCCAACCTAATCTGCTCCAAGACCAATGCCCAGGTGTCTTCGCAAAGTCCACTGCCTCCTCTAGAATAAACAGTTGGCAAGGAATCTCTTAATTGGGACGTCCTCCTGCTGAGCACTTGTAACGGGATGATGAATTGGCCTAAATAACAATACGCGAATACTGTTTTTATCAAACCATTGTAAGAATGTAAGAGGAACTTATATGACGCAGGTGAAAACATCTTACAACATCCATGTATTGCTAACAAGCTGAAACCAACATGGAGCCAACTCAAATCACTCTTCGGCATTCTCGTAGAACGTATATCCATTTCCATTTCATCAACAATCTGATTCAAGCGGTGATTACTTTTGTTATTTGAATAAAAGAAAAGCATTAAAATACAGTTATATAAAGTCATAAAAGCTACTGAGATTGAAAATCTAATCCGACCCACATCTTTTGAGAGTTCTTTACTACCCTCGTGATTCAAACCACAAATATCTAAAATACAGATTAAAATTAGCGCTAAATAATAAAAATACTGTTTCTTCGAAGGTCGGTTCTTGCAGTTGTAAGGATACCCGAGGTGCCTCAAATATCGGAATATTTCACAACCTGCCATCTTCTGCATATAATACGAGGTCACTGCAGTTGTTGATGTTATTGATTAAGATAAGATATACGGGTGAGGAATTGATAAACAAACGTTTTCCCGTCTGGCCGTCGTTCTGAGAGACATTTGATAATTGCAGTATTCGTTAATGTTTGTTTAGCCTATTTTAGGAGCCATTTTGGCACTGACAGATGCCAATGTTTTTTTAATTATCTCCAAACTTTTTTTGGTTTTTGGTTGATTCAATAAACAGTCCTATTACCTTTTTATCATTAAACACCTAAAATACAAACTTTTCTATATATATAAATGTAGTTATAAATTAAAAGAATACATAAAATGTTGACGTCGCATCCAATGCATATACCTATCTTAAATAAGTAATATCAGTTTAGTACGGTTTTTCGTTTTTGGGATAAACTTACCAAACAAACAATAAAAATCATACCGACGAAATACTTCATTCATCACATATATATCTTATATATTGATTATAGATATATCTATTTTCGACACTTTTTGTACCGTTCCATCATAATTCTCTTTCCGTGGCCCCACTATCTTCTTTTGCCACCAAAGAGAATCTGATATAGTGAGGGCATCACACGAATTTCACTTGCCATTCTACTTGCAATAGAAATAGGTATTTTCATATAAACAGATGCGAAAGTCAGATTCATTATATTATTAAATTAATTATTTATTATGGATTGTTTAATTATTATTCATTTAATAGCGTTACTATATCCAATATTCTATTTTTAAAAACATTTTAATACGACTTTTTTGTTTTATGTAGTTCGTTCAATGATCATAAAATGAGCCACATTGTGTCTTCCAATGCAATACAAGTGTCCATTCATATATTATATACAAACAAAAGTAAAATAAATATAAATAATTAAAGAAAATAAATAAAAGTAATCATGTAATATAAATAGATGTATTGACTAATTAAAAATTACTTTATTATATATAATGATTACAAAATTATGCTTAGTTTTTGAAAATACTGCCGATTTTGTGATAGTATTCTTCGCTGTATGTTAACATTTAGGAGTTCTTCGATACTCATGTTTACCATTGGATTCAGGAAAGCGTTCATTTTTAATATAATATGAATGTAAAAATTGAGTGCGAACGTGTACTCTTTAAATTGTCAGTATTTTCATAAAAAGCTTCTTCAATAATATATTATAATGGACCAATTTATCGAATAAGTTCGAAAACTTACGCGATGACGATATCTAAAAATCTAGAATGTTTTCATAAAGAGCTTCTTCAATAATAATGAAAAATGAATCCTTTCAGCCAATTCGAATACAGAGGCGATTCTTTAAAAGAACAACTTTATTGTAAATTGAAGTATTTCCATAACCTTCTATACTTAATCGATTCACGACAAAATATTAAATTGTTTTATTGACACTTCTTTCCACCAATATTTATGACATCGATTTGGTTCTGCACTCATATTGGTATATAGTAATCCTTTATGGTAAATTTTATACTTGATATTTTACAGTTGACACGATGGTATTTTTTCTTTAGTAATTGGTTAGTTACCGCATTGTTAACAATTTACTTATAAAAAAAAAATACTATATGTGTTGGTTTTGTCATATTTAATGCTGGGGCAAGATGCTAAATCGTGAAAACGAAAAATTAATCTGCAAAAAGTTACATAAAAAGTCCTCAATATTTTACTGCACGAATAATTTCTAAGGGAGTCATAAGTCCTAATTTATTTTAACTTTATTTGAAGCAATACGAATTTCTTTTCAAATAGACGTATTGCATTAATGAGCTGGATAAGAAATCATTCAATATAAATATCATCGCTAAACTGACAGAAGAATTTCAAAGGAAGCTGCAAATTGGAGAGTTTTGAATTCGAAACTGAAACTTATTATTTACACAAAAATTATCTTAATGTTAAAAAAAAAACAGAAACACATGTTGGAAAAATATTACAATACATAGTTAGAGATAATTTAATAAAAAAAGAGAATATCAAGTTTGAACAGGTTTTAAATTTTTGTAAGTTCTCAAGAATCATTGTATTTGAAATCAAAATCTAACTTGCAAAATCATTTGCCATTATTTCTCCATATCGTATATTTAATTTTTATTTATAGAAAACTTGATAATATTAACCTTGTTTCCCCCTAAAAAAAATTTACCCTCACATCGTTACCTTGGTAGGTTCAAATCGTTCTCCTACGCAACATTTTTTTCTAAATCGGTCCGGTAACTGGAATAGAGATTGTCTAGGGAGAAACAAAGTTCATATTTGTTCTACGCATCTCGAAAAAAACTTTAAATACGAATTTTATGATAATTGAAAATTAGTTTTTTTGCACGAAATATTTGCCTTAGTAAAAAATTTGCCAAAGGACAATTCCACCGATTCAAGTGAAAATTGTTAGGAATTTACGACTTTACATGTTTCATTTAATGGTACAAACGCGATCTCCGGAAAAAATTAAAGACAAATATATAAAATAAAAATTACAGAGAAGTTTTACTTAATTTATAATATTGAAAAGAATGAAATCCAAAAGTTAATGAGGTTGGAAGAACGGTAATTAGACTTTCTAGCGTTTGTAGTAACGTTGAATTTGTACAAAGTCGTGAGAAGTAATGAATGCTATAGAGTTATGAAATATTTATTTCATTAATAAGCCCTTTTTCTGAAAAAATATAATAAGGTTGCAGCAAAGGATTTGGTACCTGATAATTAGAATTAGCTGTCGAATGTGCCAAACACCAGATCTTGTAAAGGGCGTCAACGGATATAGCAAAATGAGTAAGTGCCACGCCTGATTTCAAATTGGAGCAGAGGAGCCTGGTTTCTGGAATGATATCTAAGAGAGTCCCAGCAAAGATGTAAATGCCGATGATGGCCCTGTAAAGAGAATCGAACACAATCAATGCCAAGTAGAAGTAATAATAATCGAGTAGCTTTGAGTATATTCTTTCTAATCGAATTTGCTCCATGACTAGTGCCCAAGTGTCAATGAAAAGTTTCATATCTTCCCTGGAGTGAAACGTTAACAAAAACCCACTCAATTTGGATGTCCTCTTGCTCACTATCCCTAAGGGAATGATGAATTGACTCAGATTACAGTATGTCGTAAATGTTTTCGCGTAATCGTTGTAATCATCGATGATACTGTCATTTATGGAAAAAGAATACTTTAGTATTGACTGAAATATCATTAAGATAATTCCAATGTGGAGCCAACTCATTTCACCCTTCGGGTATCGCCTTGAACGAATAGTCTTTCGCATATCGTCAATGATCTTATGTAGGGGGTGATCACTTTTGATACTTGAATACAAGCAAAGTATCATAACACCGTTTTGGAAAACTTCAAAAGCAGTCGTGATTGAAAACCTGATCAAACCTACTTGTTTTCTCTTTTGTATATTAGCTTCCTCGTGTATTTTATTAAAAATGAACACAGAATTTACAAAAGAATATACAATAATTGTTATAGAATAAAAATACTGTTTCTTGGAAGGAAGATTCTTGCCGTTGTAAGGATATCCGAGATGCCTCAAATACGGGAAGAGGTCTCTACACTCCATCTCCTAACCGTTTTGACTGTGAAGTTGTCAATGAAGTACTCCGAATAGAATTGGGCTGGTTTTCTTAAAATAGGACTCATATCCACAGAATCGATTCTGATAAATAAACAAGATTCTAGAACCATTTCGCTTATTATATTATCATATCATTTCAGTTATCATTTAACGATTAGTTACGGTATTTTGAGCATTTGAGAGTTGGAACATTCCATTTAAAATTACTAGCAGCTTACATTTCTATGCAGGGAATCCAGATTGCGTTTTTTGCTATCTATATTATTTTTAAGGATCCAAACGGTTTTAGGGTTTTTCTTTAGGGCATTAGCTGATTCAGGATTTAATTTTGGGGGGAACTACAGCCCGATTTTTTTTTTTTCATAAATATAAAAGAAAAATGAACTGCTTATATGAAATAGTGTTTAAGTGATTCTTGAAGTCCTATTAAATGTAATTACACGAACAATAATACTTTAAGAGATAGTTTTTATTTATTTTTTCTATAAAACATGGTTATACTTTACCGTTTTGGGGGGGGAGGGGGGCTTCAGCCCGAAAGCCCTCCTCCCCCGTAAATCCGCCAATGCTTTGGGGCAAACATTTTTATACTTCTATGGGAAGTATTTTTTTAATCTACAACTAAATACATTCAGAATCATTACATGATTAATAATTAAAAATTGAAAAGAGTGGGAAAAAATATTTGTTTGAAACACAGTTTGAATTATTTATATTAATTTATTTACCAAAACTACCTTTAACCAATAAGCAATAAAAGATCTTGCCAACTCTTATATTTCTACGTTCTATTATAGAGATTGAATTAAAAGAATAATTAAGTAATTAAATTTTCATAGCGTAGCGTCAAATTTTCTCTAGAAAATAGTCTACTAAATTGACAAAAATATATATCGTTTAAAACAAAAATACTAAATTAAGACTTCGTTGAAGTCATTTTCATTGTTTTTTAAACTTTTTTTTGTGTGCTCACTCTGGTATTTCCTGCTCCTATGCATCTAATCGACCAATTGATAAAACCGACTTCTTAAATGACCAACATTTTGAACTAACTATTCGGAATAACTATTTTTCATTAATAAATGTCTATATCTGATCTATGTTTTCGTTTA